AGGAATGTAAATGTGTAAAGGATAAAGACACTGAAGGTTCAGGGAGTTGAGTGAGTGGGAGTTAGTGAAGAAGAAATATTAATTGAAGGGGGGAGGGAATGCCCATTTTTTGAAAGGGGAGGGGGAGAAGAAAGCAAAACAATAACAAGAAAGCCACGTGTATGACGTGATGGGTCTTGGAAGAATCTCAAGAGATGAAGTGGAAGACTTCTCTAATAATGTGACAGAATGAAGTTAGATGTGAGTGAAATTGACTTATTTGTTCAGTTGTGCATTTGTTGGATGTGTAGCCCAACTTTCTACTACAAATAGGACCCAAAGGGACTGATAGCAGTGGCTACTCATGAGGCATTTTAGGGTTTGAGTCCTTTCATGCTGAATCTGTTTTAAAGCATAGTATTCAACATCTTAGGTTTCTTGTTATTTGACAGCAAGCCAACTTTGATTTAAGTGGTTCCCAACCTTTTTTTGACCAGGAACAACTTGACCAGGGCCACTTTGACCAGGGACCATTTTGACCATGGACCACTTGGACCAGGGACCACTTTGACTAGGGACCACTTTGACCAGGGACCATTTTGACCATGGACCACTTTGGCTAAGGATCACTTTGACTAGGGACCACTTTGACCAGGGACCACTTTGACCAGGAACCATTTTGACCAGGGACCACTTGGACCAGGGACCATTTGACAAGGGACCACTTTGACCAGGGACCATTTTGACCATGGACCACTTTGACCAGGGACCATGTTGACTAGGGACCACTTGGACCAGGGACCATTTGACAAGGGACCACTTGGACCAGGGACCATTTTGACCATGGACCACTTTGACCAGGGACCATGTTGACTAGGGACCACTTGGACCAGGGACCACTTGGACCAGGGACCACTTTGACTAGGGACTACTTGGACCAGGGACCACTTGGACCAGGGACCATTTTGACCATGGACCACTTTGACTAGGGATCACTTTGACTAAGGATCACTTTGACAAGGGACCACTTGGACCAGGGACCACTTTGACCAGGGACCATTTTGATCATGGACCACTTTGACCAGGGACCATTTTGACCATGGACCACTTTGAGTAGGGACCACTTGGACCAGGGACCACTTGGACCAGGGACCACTTGGACCAGGGACCACTTTGATTACCCATGCCAAGTTTGGTCCAGGCCTATCATTGTTTGAGTCCACAGTGCTCTCTGGATGTAGGTGAACTACAACTCCAAAACTCAAGGTCAATGCCCACCAAACGCTTTCAGTATTTTCTGTTGGTCATGGGAGTTCTGTCTGCCAAGTTTAGCTCAATTCCATCATTGGTGGAGTTCCAAATGCTCTTTGATTGTAGGTTAACTATAAATCCCAGCAACTACAACTCCCAAATGACAAAATAAATCCACCTCAACCCCACCAGTATTCATATTTGGGTGTATCAGATATTTGTGCCAAATTAGGTCCAGTGAATGAAAATGCATCCTGCAAATCAGATATTTACATTACGATTCCTAACAGTAGCAAAATTACAGTTATGAAGTAGGAACAAAAATAATATTATGGTTGGGGGTCATCACAACTTGAGGAACTGTATTAAGGGGTTGTGGCATTGGGAAGGTTGAGAAACACTGACATCGAGAAAAAGAGAGTCAACATTCTCAGATCATGCTTGTAACTTGCAAGTCTTTGTAATTTTGTCAAATTTTGGTGCGGGAGAGTGAAACGCTCTGGGAACGGGAGAAAGCAGGACCGCCTCCCAGCATGTTTGCAATCAAAACAAATGGCTTATAAAAGCAGAGCAGTTGGGAAGAGCCATCTGGTGTGAAGTGGTATCTTGAGCATCTAAATCGGTATCATGTGGTGGGGAGTATCTGAGAAGATGGGCTTCAGGAGAAGTGGAAAATGCAGAGAACGGCACCCCCAAAATAGACGCTGGCGCTATTTGTTATGTGAGAGTAGGTTTTAAAAATGCCGGTCTTTTCCATGATGGAGTTTTGACAATACATTTCAGGGCTTTTGATGAGATTGAGATACAATTGCACAAAGTAGTAGAAAATATTTTGACATATGGAACTTTCTACCACCAGGTGTAAGGAAGAATAATCCTGTTGTGCTTTTTTTTTAAAGAAAAGGCTAGCATTTGTAAAAGAAAAAAGAAGAAAAGGCACCTCTGTGGACTAGATATGATCCTTTGGGCACACCACAATCTTCTGTGGTGAAGATGGAATGCCATCAGGTGTTGCTTGCATCACCCTTCCTTATTTTTTTTTCTTGGGAAGACAGGCGGACAAACATCAGCGTGCTGGAAGAAGCAAAGACCACCAGCATTGAAGCGATGGTCCTCCGCCACCAACTCCGCTGGACCGGCCACGTTGTCCAGATGCCCGGCCACCGTCTCCCAAAGCAGTTGCTCTACTCTGAACTCAAGAACGGAAAACGGAATGTTTTTGGACAGGAAAAGAGATTTAAATATGGGCTCAAAGCCAACCTTAAAAACTCTGGCATAGACACTGAGAACTGGGAAGCCCTGGCTCTTGACCACTCCAGCTGGAGGTCAGCTGTGACCAGCAGTGCTGCAGAATTTGAGGAGGCACGAATGGAGGGTGAAAGGGAGAAGCGTGCCAAGAGGAAGGCACATCAAGCCAATCCCAACCGAGACCGCCTTCCACCTGGAAACCAATGCCCTCACTGCGGAAGAAGATGCAGAGCAAGAATAGGGCTCCACAGCCACATACAGACCCACAAGAATGTTGGAAGACAATCATCCTCGGAAAACGAGGGATCGCCTAAGTAATTTTTTTGCAATATGCTGTGAATTCGGGAGAAGATCAGGAGGCCTGAGGGCCATTTCAAGGGATATACATGCCTTATTGGGCTGCAAGTAATAGCTGCTGAAAAATTATCTTCTACACATCTATGGAAGGGATGGGAGTCCTTTTCCTTATTTTATCTGTCAAACCTATGCACTTTAAAGTTTCAGTATCCCATACTTTCCAACTTACAGTATACCATTCTTTCCTACTTTCAGTATTCCATCCTTTCCTTTTCATTTCACTATTTGGTAAAACAACAACAACACATGATGATGGAGGAGAACAGTGGTGATCGGCACACTGGGTGCAGTGCCTAAAGACCTTGGCCTGCACTTAAACACAATCGCTGCTGACAAGATTACCAGCTGCCAGCTGCAAAAGACCACCTTACTGGGATCTGCACGCATTATTTGCCGATACATCACACAGTCCTAGACACTTGGGAAGTGTCCGGTGTGTGATCCAGTACAACAGCCAGCAGAGTGTCTGCTGTGGATTCATCTTGTTGCGTTTCAAATAATAATAATAATAATAATAATAATAATAATAATAATAATAATCTTTATTTATACCTCACCACCATTTCCCCAAAGGGGACTCAGAGTGGCTTACATGAGGCCAAGCCTAGTGATACATTACAGTAACATAAAATATAAACAACAAAATAACATCACAGTAAAATAAATAAACCAATCAAGTAAAATAAACAGTACAAAATAATTTATATTTTATTGATACGTTTAATTTTTATTGTATGTTATATTTTTAATTGTATTTATGATATAGTAAGCATTGAATTTTACCCTGTTAACCACCTTGAGTCACCTACGGGCTGAGAAAGACAGTATACAAAAACAGGAAATAAATAAATAAGTTTTGGAGTTTCGGGGTACGGTGTCATCTGTACGCGGATGATGTCCAACTCTGTCATTCATTCCCACCGGCTACTAAGGAGGCTGTTCAAGTCCTGAACCGGTGCTTGGCCGCTGTAACGGACTGGATGAGGGCGTACAAATTGAAACTAAATCCAGACAAGACAGAGGTACTCCTGGTCAGTCGTAAGGCTGAACGAGGCATAGGGTTACAGCCTGTGCTTGACGGGGTTACACTCCCCCTGAAGGCACAGGTTCGCAGCTTGGGAATGATCCTGGACTCATCGCTCAGCCTGGAATCCCAGGTCATGGCGGTAGCCAGGGGAGCTTTTGCACAGTGAAATCTTGTGTGCCAGCTGCACCTGTACCTTGGGAAGTCTGACTTGGCCACTGTGATCCACACTCTGGTTACATCCCATATAGACTACTGCAACACTCTCTATGTGGGGTTGCCTTTGAAGACTGCCCGGAAGCTGCAATTAGTCCAGTGCTCGGCTGCCAGGTTACTACTGGGAGTGGGGTACAGGGAGCATACAACTCCCTTGTTGCGCCAGCTCCACTGGCTGCCAATTAGCTTCCGAGCACAATTCAAAGTGCTGGTTTTAACCTACAAAACCCTATATGGTTCTGGCCCAGTTTACCTGTCCAAACGTATTCTCCCCTATGAACCATCAGGAGTATTAAGATCACCTGGAGAGGCCCTGCTCTCGGTCCCGCCACCTTCTCAGGCGCGCCTGGTGGGAACGAGAGACAGGGCCTTTTCTGTGGTGGCTCCTTAACTATGGAATTCCCTCCGGAATGAAATTAGATCTGCCCCCTCCCTCCTGACCTTTAGGAAGCTTGTGAAAACTTGGCTGTGGAATGAAGCTTTTGCAGATGATGTCTGAGACTGGCAATCGACCAAAGTTACTGACCACAATATATGGACTGAATATACGGACTGAGTTGGACATGATTTTATCTTGGTGAACGGCTGTTATGTAATTTATCCTATATGTATTGGTTAATTTTAATGTTGATGTATGATATTTTAGATTTTAGCGTTAGCACTGAATCTTTGCTGTCAGCCAGTCTGAGTCTTTCTACGGAGGTAGAGAAGATCGAGATATAAACGTTTTAAATATATACATAAATAATAAACATTCTGACCCAAGTGAGGTATGTAACTGCATGGGCTACTTTTGTGAGTTCTACCAGAATTATGTTTTAAAAATTGCTCAAATTGTTGATAACTTCTTGGAATTTGTAACATTTTTACTCCCTGGATCTGAGATCTCTTTAAGGTCCTGCATTTTGTCTCTTTCACTAAACAGGCGTCACGAATGCTGGAGCGATTGCAGGAGCTGTTATAGGAGCAATCTTAGCTCTCCTCCTTTTTGGTGCCATCGTGATCTATGTCCTGCGCCAGAGAAAGCGGAAGACAACTAAGAAGTCCCAGTCGATATACAGTGGGAATGAAATAAGGTCAGACCAATCATTGTTTGATTCTTCAAATGTAACTACACAAAATCTTGCCAAATGCAGTTTGTAAAAGATGCATTCCAGAAAGAATAACATAACCGGTGCTTGGCCGCTGTGACGGACTGGATGAGGGACAACAGATTGAAACTAAATACAGACAAGACAGAGGTACTCCTGGTCAGTCGAAAGGCCGAACAGGGCATAGGGTTACAGCCTGTGCTGGACAGGGTTACACTCCCCCTGAAGGCACAGGTTCGCAGTTTGGGAGTTCTCCTAGATTCATCGCTGAGCCTGGAGCCCCAGGTTTTGGCGGTGGTCAGGGGAGCTTTCGCACAATTAAAACTTGTGCGCCAGCTGCGCCCGTACCTCGGGAAGTCTGACTTGGCCACGGTGGTCCACGCTTTGGTTACATCCCGTTTAGACTACTGCAACGCTCTCTACATGGGGTTGCCTCTGAAGACTGCTCGGAAGCTGCAGCTAGTCCAACGCTCGGCAACCAGACTACTAACGGGTGCTCGGTACAGGGAGCACACCACTCCGCTGTTACACCAGCTGCACTGGCTGCCAATTAGCTTCCAAGCACAATTCAAAGTGCTGGTGTTAACCTATAAATCCCTAAACAACTCTGGCCCTGTTTACCTCTCCGAACATATTCTCCCCTATGAACCATCAAGATTATTAAGATCATCTGGAGAGGCCCTGCTCTCGGTCCCACCGGCCTCGCAAGTGCGCCTGGTGGTGACGAGGGACAGGGCCTCCTTGGTGGTGGCCCCTCGACTCTGGAACTCTCTCCCACTGGAGATCAGAACCACCCCTTCTATCCTGACATTTAGGAAACAGGTGAAGACGTGGTTATGGAGACAGGCATTCGACGAGTGAGCCAATACCCTGAGATATGGATGGAGGATGATGAACAACGATTTTAGTGTTACAACTGACCATTGTAGTTATTGATTGTAATTGCTGTTTTAAGGTTTTACTGTAATATGAATTATGATGTTTTATTGACTGTATGTGATATTATGGTTGGAAACCGGTCTGAGTCCCTCAAGAGAGGTGAGAAACCTGGTATACAAAACTTTTAAATAAATAAATAAATAATAAGATCTAAGTCAACAGCCAAGGGGCCGTGGTGGCGCAGTGGGTTAAACCGCTAAGCTGCAGAACTTGCTGACGGGAAGGTTGATGGTTCAAATTGGCAGGACAAGACGAGCTCCTGTTGTTAGCCCCAGCTAAATCTAAGCAATTTTGAGATTCAAGTTCGAATTTTAATTATAGCTGTCAAGCAGTTTTGATGTGATTAAAAATAAGTGGGAATTACTGATGTGTGTCATAAAAAGAAGACAAAGGAAGCTTATAAAGTGCATCATAAAATAACTTATGTTTGAAGAGTGTGGGCAAAATGTTCATTTTACCAAGAAATGCATGGATATGGGAACTTAGATTAATACTTTATATGGTATTGGGCCATAGTGGCGCAGCCGATTAAACTGCTGAACTGCAGAACTTGCTGACAGGAAGGTTGGCAGTTTGAATCTGTGGGGGTAAGAGTAAACCCATTCGAGCAATTGATAAATCATGAGTAAGCACAGCTGGCGGTGGTGGCTTCTCGGTGGTGGCTCCTCGGCTATGGAACGCCCTTCCTACAGACATTAGACTAGCACCATCTCTAATGGTATTCCGCAAAAAAGTGAAGACCTGGCTGTTTGAGCAGGCGTTCGAATAATTAGTGCAATGATTGGTTAATGAACACTGGAATGGAACAATGGACGACAATGGACGACGAATCTGGAACATGTTTTTGATGACGAGACGACAGTGAATGGGTATTGTAGTAATTGTTTATTAATTGTGTAATGTGTTAGGTTGTTAACTGTTTTTATACTGTAGCACTGAATTTTTGCTGTTTGTATTTGTTGCGAACCGCTGTGAGTCGCCTTTGGGCTGAGAACAGCGGTATATAAGTAAGGCAAATAAATAAATAAATAAATAATAAATACTTGTAGCAGTCCCATTATCTCAGTGCTTTAAATATGAGCAGGTTTACCCTGATATATGTCCAGTCATGTCCAACTCTGGGGGCTGGTGCGCACCTCCATTTCCAAGCCAAAGAGCCAGCGTTGTCCATAGACACCTCCTAGGTCGGGTGGCCAGCATGATTGCATGGAGCCCTGTTACCTTCCCACCTATTGATCTACTCACATTTGCATGTTTTCAAACTGTTAGGTTGGCAGAAGCTAGGGCTAACAATGGGAGCTCACCCTGTCCCACAGATTTGAACCACTGACCTTCTGGTCAGCAAGTTCAGCACCTCAGAGATTTAACCCACTGTGCCACCAGTGGGCCCTAAAATGGGCTGTATTTTGGTGGCACAGCGGGTTAAACTGCTAAGCTGCAGAAGTTCCTGACCGGAAGGTCAGCGGTTCAGATCCATGGGACAGGGTGAGCTCCTGCTGTTAGCCCCAGCTTCTGCCAGCCTAGCAATTTGAAAACGTGCAAATGTGAGTAGATCAATAGATACTGCTTTGACGGGAAGTTAATGGTGCTCCATGCAGTCATAGCGGGCACATGACCTAAGAAGTGTCTACGAACAGCGCCAGCTTTTCAGCTTAGAAATGGATATGAGCACCGCCCTCCAAAGTTGGACACAACTAGACTTAATGACCTTTACCTTTACTTAAGTGAACAGCCAGCCTGGTAGCTTTGCAAAGGTAACAGAGGGGCTGAGAAAAAAAAAAAAGGAAGCCTCTTTCCAGAATTCAAACGACTGCATAAGATATTGTGGTATCCCAAGATTTTGTTTGACATGGATGCGTTTTATTTATTTATTTATTTTAACATATATGTATACCGCCCTTCTCAGCCTGAAGGTGACTCAGGGCGGTTCATAGTTGGCAACATTTGATGCCTCAAAAAATAAAACAATCATAAAATACTGTTAAATCATTTAGCATAAAATATAAAAATATTAAAAAGACCATACAGAGCCATAAAAACATTGTTGTGAGCGTCTCCTTGTAAAATCGTTATTCAGTTGCATTGTCAGGTTGTTCCATGATTTCGTATAATTTTGCTGGGTTAGCAAAGGCCTGCTCAAAAAGCCAGGTAATATGATAAATAAAGAATAATAATAATAAAATAATAATAATAATAATAATAATAATAATAATAATAATAATAATAAAATGAGAGCAACGGAAAAGAAAGAAGAAGGTAAAGAGGAGAAAAAAAGGAAAAGGAAAAGAGGGAGGAAGAAGAAGGAAAGAGAAAAGGAATAATAATAATAATAATAATAATAATAATAATAATAATAATAATAAAGAAAACAAGAGGAACACTGAGAAAAGAAAAGAAATAAAGACAAGTTGAGTGATGAGGAGAAGAAGAGAGAGAAGAGAAAGAGAAGAGATGAAAGAGAAGAGATGAAGTAACGAAGAAAGGATATAATGGAGAAGAAGAGAGAAGAGATGGGAGGGGAAGGAAAGGGAAGAAAAGGAGAAAGAAAGAAAAGTGAAAACACCGATGCCTGCAAACTAGAAAAGAAACAACTCCAAAGAGCTGTTGTAAGAGAAATCTTGAAAGCAACATTAGGGAAGGGGGGAGGTTTTGTTACTGATGTATCTCCCTTTCTTCTTTCTTTCTTTCTTTCTTTCTTTCTTTCTTTCTTTCTTTCTTTTTTTCTTCTTTCTTCTTCTTCTTTTTCCTTCTCTTCCTCTATTTCCTTTCTTTCTTTTTGTTTCGTTTCTTCCCCTCCCTATCATTCTCTACCACTCCCACCTCTTTTTTTCTCCTTTCCCTTTTTAATCTTCTATTAAACACTTGTAGATAAGACTCGTGATTTTATCTTTGTATACTTAAAATTTAATAAAAACTATTTTTTTTAAAAAAAAAGCCAGGTTTTCACCTTTCTTCAAAAAGTCAGGAGGGAGGGGGGCTATCTTATATCCTTGGGAAGTTGAGGGGCCACTACTGAGAAGGCCCTGTCTCACATCTGTGAGGAAGGTGGGACCAAGAGCAGGGCCTCCCCAGAAGATCTTAATGTCCTAGATGGTTCATAAGGAGAGATATGTTCGGATAGGTAAGCTGTTCCGGAACCGTTTAGGGCAGGGATCTTTAAACTAAGGCCCGGGGCCCGGATGCGGCCCTCCAAGGTCATTTACCTGGCCCTCGCTCAGGGTCAACCTAAGTCTGAAACGACTTGAAAGCACACAATAACAACAACAATAATCCTATCTCATCAGCCAAAAGCAGGCTCATACTTCTCTAATAAGTTTATATTTGTTAAAATTGTTCTTCATTTTAATTATTGTATTGTTTTTAAGTGTTTTTTTTTTTGCTCTACAAATAAGATATGTGCAGTGTGAATAGGAATTCATGTTTGTTTGGGGTTTTTTTCTAATTATAATCCGGCCCTCCAACAGTTTGAGGGTCTGTAACCTGGCCCTCTGTTTAAAAAGTTTGAGGACCCCAGGTTTAGGGCTTTATAGGCTAAAGCCAGCACTTTGAATTGTGCCCAGAAGCAAACTGGCAGCCAGTGGAGCTGGTGCAACAGAGGATTGTGTGCTCCTTGAGCGCCGCTCCTGTTGGCAACCTGGCTGCCACCCGTTGGACCATTTGCAGCTTCCGAACAGTCTTCGAAGGCAACCCCACATAGAAACATATTGCAGTAGTCTATACGGAATGTAACCAGAGCGTGAACTACCTTGTCATGTTCAATTTATTTATTTATTTATTTATTTATTTATTTAGAGTTTTTATAACCCGGTCTTCTCGACCTCCGAAGAGGGACTCAGGCCAGCTAACAGCAGAAAATTCAACACAAATATAGTAAACATAGTAGCATCATAATACATTAATACAAAATACATTAAAATACAAATCATACAATATCATACAATTACAAAAGCCAGGTCGTCAGAATAAAATCACAAATTCATCACCATCCACCGGTGTGGTCAGCCGTTATTGACTCGATCATCATTGTGCAAATGCTATATTCCAAAGCCAGGCTTTTACCAGCTTTCTGAAAGTCAGGAGGGAAGAGGCAGATCTAATCTCCAACAGGAGAGAGTTCCAGAGCCGAGGAGCCACCACCGAGAAGGCCCTGTCCCTCATCCCCACCAGACGCGATTGCGAAGGTGGTGGGACCGAGAGCAGGGCCCCTCCAGAAGATCTTAACAACCTTGATGGTTCATAGGGGAGAATCTATTCGGTCAGGTAAACTGGGCCGGAGTCGTTTAGGGATTTATAGGTCAACACCAGCACTTTGAATTGTGCTCGGAAGCTAATTGGCAGCCAATGAAGCTGACGCAACAGAGGAGTAGTATGCTCCCTGTACCCTGCTCCTGTTAGTAATCTGGCTGCCACTTGTTGGACTAGTTGAAGCTTCCAGGCAGTCTTCAGAGGCAACTCCACGTAGAGAGCATTGCAGTAGTCTATACAGGATGTAACCAGAGCGTGGACAACTGTGGCCAAGTCAGACTTCCCAAGGTACGGGCGCAGCTGGCGCACAAGTTTTAATTGTGCAAAAGCTCCCCTGACCACCGCAGAGACCTGGGGTTCCAGGCTCAGCGATGAGTCCAGGATCACTCCCAAGCTGCGAACCTGTGCCTTCAGGGGGAGCAAATCTTCATAAATGTAATTTTTGTAGTCAAGAATCAATAATAACCAATCACCTCTTAAAGAACATTAACTGGAAATGGTTAGCTGTTTCAATGTCTCTTTATTTCCCTCTGTCTTTGTCCAAAGGGAGGATGCCACAGCTCCTGGGATTGCCGAGACTTCCTTGCAAAGACCAGACAGCACGTCAGAAGAAAGCCATCCCCTGGAAAGCATGCCCTCTCGGCCTGGCTCTCACAGCACAACCAAATCTCAGCTCAACCATTTCCTAGTCTGAACTTACTTTGTGTGGCTGCAGTTTAGAACAAAAACAGGGCTCTGCTTTATTGCACAGAGAAAATATTTCATCTGAAGAAACTGCAGCATAGACTTTAAGCCATCCCTTCACCCATTGTTCCCAACCTGCCTGGCACATTGTCATCGCTTACATTGTTCCTCTGATGTTTTCTTTTCAAGGTTGAGCCAACCTGCATCCTTTGTCTTCATTTCCAAGGAGAAGTGGGATCAGCCCATAAGAGAGAGAGGGGTGACCATAAAAAGAGAGACAGAAGGTGACGTAAAGAAGAAAGAATGAGGGAAGTGTCAGAAATGAGAAAGGTGTCAAAAGGAGAGAGGGAAAGTGCCAGGGAGAGAGAAGGCCGTAAGAAAGATGGGGAAAGGTGTCAGAAAAAATAAGGTTGGGAAGTGACAGAATGAGGGGGAAGAAGTGAAGGGGAGTGCGAAGACGTGGGAGTCGTGTCAGAGAAAGAGTAGAGGAAGGTGTTAGAATGAGAGAGGGTGGGAAGTGGGTGTCAGAAGAAAAGGAGAGGGAGAAGAGCTATGTCAGGAATCTAGAAGAGCGGGGCAGTCTTCTTGCCTGCTTTTGGATCTGGCCACCTTGATGCACTCTACTGGCTTCGTCCCTCTCTATCACTAGTGTGTGGCCCCCAACAGATTACACTCAACACCATGTGAAGATTTTGTGACCCTGTTTTATTTGTCATTTCTTAACCACTATGCCACAATTATTATTGTTTTCAAAGAGAGTTAAATCTGATCCCTCCAAAACTGGAACTTTTTTTTCTCGTGTCAGGGCTGCCAGTCAATTATATTACATTTCTAACAGAACAAAGCAAACAAACAGAGAATATACAAAATGTGTGAGTTTGGTAGTTGATTAAATGTCATTTGACCAGTATCTGGCCACTTGGAGTGCTTCTGGTGTTGCTGCAAGAAGGTCCTCCATTGTGCATGTGGCAGGGCTCAGGTTGCATTGCAGAAGGTGGTCAGTGGTTTGCTCTTCTTCACACTCGCATGGCGAGGATTCCACTTTGTAGCCCCATTTCTGAAGGTTGGCTCTGCATCTCGTGGTGCCAGAGACGCAGTCTGTTCAGCGCCTTCCAAGTCGCCAAGTCTTCTGTGTGCCCAGGAGGGAGTCTCTCATTTGGTATCAGCCATTGGTTGAGGTTCTGGGTTTGAGCCTGCCACTGTTGGACTCTCGCTTGCTGAGGTGTTCCAGCGAGTGTCTCTGTAGATCTTAGAAAACTATGTCTGGATTTAAGTCGTTGACGTGCTGGCTGATACCCAAACAGGGGATGAGCTGGAGATGTCTCTGCCTTGGTCCTTTCACTATTGGCTGCCACTTCCCGGTGGATGTCAGGTGGTGCAATACCGGCTAGACAGTGTAATTTCTCCAGTGGTGTAGGGCGCAGACACCCCGTGATAATGCGGCATGTCTCATTAAGAGCCACATCCACTGTTTTAGTGTGGTGAGATGTGTTCCACACTGGGCATGCATACTCAGCAGAATGAGTATGGAACTGGAACTTGGCACCCATTGATCCAGGTTCTTGTTTCTGTACTATAGATAATTCAAGATATTTGCTGTGGATATTTGTGAAGAAAATACACCCCACACATGATAACGTGAACTTTGTTGTGCATGTCATAGTTACCTCCTAAGTAGACTTACTACTTACTTACTTAGGCGATCCCTCATTGCCCAAGGATGATGGCCCTCCAAGTGTAGTGTCTTGGTGGTGGGTCCGTAGGTGGTTGTGGAGCACTATTCTTGATCCGCATGTTCTCCCGCAGTGAGGACATCTGTTTCCAGGTGGAAGGCAGTTCCGGTAGGGATCTCCGTTGAACTGATCACATTGTCCGAATGCCGGATCAATGTCTCCCAAAGTAGTTACTACATTCCCAACTCAAGAATGAGAAACATAATGTTGGTGGACAGGAAAAGAGATTTAAAGTTCAGTGGGACACTCTCTGGTCTTGTGGCCTGGCTAAAGGGACCTAGCTACGGTGATCCAGGCTACGGTCATCTCAAGACTGGACTACTGTAACGCCCTCTACATTGGCCATCCTCTGTTGGTGATCCGGAAGCTCAAGTTGGTACAAAATGCAGCTGCTCAGCTTCTTGCAGGAATTCTGATGAGATGCCAGATAACACCAATTTTACTGCAGCTGCATTGGTTACAAAATGAGCACCGGATCACTTCCAAAGTGATAGTACTCACCTTTAAGGCCTTGCATGGTCTGGGGCCGATGTACCTGAGGGACCGCCTCACCCCCTACCAACCCCAGAGATCCCTCCGTTCTGAGGACCAAGATCTATTGGAAATTCCCAGTGTCAAGACCTTGCTTCTAACAGCAACCAGACGCAGAGCCTTTACAGCAGTGGCACCATCACTCTGGAATACTCTGCCACCTGAAGTCCGTGCCTTGTGGGACCTATCAGTTTTCTGCAGGGCATGTAAGACATATCTGTTTCGACAGACCTTTGATCTCTGATATTGTTGTTTTTAAATTATTTTTAAATTGTTTTAAATTGTTTTTAAATTGTGTTAGATTTTAGCCTGTTCTTGTAAGCTGCTCCGAGCCCCAGGGGAGCGGCGGCATATAAGTTTGAATTATAAATAAATAAATAAATAAATAATATTTGCTTAAGTAACCAAAAATGCAAAATGGTCAGGAAGGGGACAGGCTGACATTTTGTGCAAAATATGACCCTAAGGAGTAAAGGTTTGTTTACTTCTTCTCTGTCTTTTTAAAGACCTGGAAATGATACATTGAGAGAGAGAGTTTGTTTGAAGGTGAAACAGTTACTTAGTTTATTTGTAGCATTCTTATGGTATAAGCGTAGTGGTGACGCCTGGCTCGAGAGCAGTACGTGTGAAAAAGATCTTGGAGTCCTCGTGGACAACAAGTTAAACATGAGCCAACAATGTGATGTGGCGGCAAAAAAAGCCAATGGGATTTTGGCTTGCATCAATAGGAGCATAGTGTCTAGATTTAGGGAAGTAATGCTACCCCTCTATTCTGCTTTGGTTAGACCACATCTGGAATATTGTGTCCAATTCTGGGCACCACAATTCAAGAGAGATATTGACAAGCTGGAATGTGTCCAGAGGAGGGCGACTAAAATGATCAAGGGTCTGGAGAACAAGCCCTATGAGGAGCGGCTTAGGGAACTGGGCATGTTTAGCTGAAGAAGAGAAGGCTGAGAGGAGATATGATAGCCATGTATAAATATGTGAGAGGAAGCCACAGGGAGGAGGGAGCAAGCTTGTTTTCTGCTTCCTTGGAGATTAGGACGCGGAACAATGGCTTCAAACTACAAGAGAGGAGATTCCATCTGAACATTAGGAAGAACTTCCTGACTGTGAGAGCCGTTCAGCAGTGGAACTCTCTGCCCCGGAGTGTGGTGGAGGCTCCTTCTTTGGAAGCTTTTAAGACAGAGGCTGGATGGCCATCTGTCAGGGGTGATTTGAATGCAATATTCCTGCTTCTTGGCAGGGGGATTGGACTGGATGGCCCATGAGGTCTCTTCCAACTCTTTGATTCTATGATTCTATGATTCTATGGTTACATAGGATCAAACGCTTGTTGCTTACAGAATAATGTTTCAAATGAGTTTCTTTCAAACTATTCTTTTCTTCTGAAAAGGACTTTTATGTGAATATATAAGAACAGGTTTCAAATTACCTTTAACTTGGGTTGTTGTAGGTTTTTTCGGGCTATATGGCCATGGTCTAGAGGCATTCTCTCCTGACGTTTCGCCTGCATCTATGGCAAGCATCCTCAGAGGTAGTGAGGAGGTACCTCTGATGATGCTTGCCATAGATGCAGGTGATTCCAGCCTTGAAAGCCTTCAACAGTACTGTAGCATGTTTTCTGTGGGACTTCCTTTAAGTCTGTATAGAAACTACTGTTGTTGTTGTTGTTGTTGTTGATTTGTTCAGTCGTTTCTGACTCTTCGTGACCTCATGGACCAGCCCATGCCAGAGCTCCCTGTCAGCCGTCACCTCCACCAGCTCCTTCAGAGTCAAGCCAGTCACTTCAAGGATACCATCCATCCATCTTGCCCTTGGTTGGCCCCTCTTCCTTTTACCTTCCATTTTCTCCAGCATCATTGTCTTCTCTAAGCTTTCCTTTCTTCTCCTGATGTAGCCAAAGTACTTCATCTTGGCCTCTAGTATCCTTCCTTCCAATGAGCAGTCGGGCTTTATTTCCTGAAGTATGGACTGGTTGGATCTTCTCGCTGTCCCAGGCACTCTCAGAACTTTCCTCCAGCACCACAGTTCAAAAGCATCTATCTTCCTTCACTCAGCCTTCCCTATGGTCCAGCTCTCACATCCGTAGGTAGTCATGGGGAATGCCATTATTTTAACTATGAGGATCTTCATTGCCAGCGTGATGTCTCTATCCTTCACTATTTTATCGAGATTGGACATTGCTCTCCTCCCAAGAAGTAAGCATCTCCTGATTTTCTGTACCACTGTATTTCATCACTTAGATTGGAAACAGGCATGCCACAAATCTACCCAACCACCTCTACTGTCTAGTCTAACTCCACATTTGATCCTGCCAATGGTTGGAAAATTTTTGGTGGGTCTGGTTAGTATTTTTTTTTTTGAGACTGGCAACAAATACCTGGTGAGAGAAGACATGATAACAACATATAAATATGTGAGAGGAAGTCATAGGGAGGAGGGAGAAAGCTTGTTTTCTGCTGCCCTGGAGACTAGAACGCGGAATAATGTCTTCAAACTACAAGAAAGGAGATTCCATCTGAACATGGGGAAGAACTTCCTGACTGTGAGAGCCATTCAGCAGTGGAACTCTCTGCCCTGGAGTGTGGTGGAGGCTCCATCTTTGGAGGCTTTTAAGCAGAGGCTGGATGGCCATCTGTCGGGGATGCTTTGAATGCAATTTTCCTGCTTCTTGGCAGGGGGTTGGACTGGATGGCCCATGAGGTCTCTTCCAACTCTATGATTCTATGATTTAGGCCAT